ACATTAGAGGGAAAGAAGGGAGGGAGACGTGTCTTCTATTCCTTTGTTATAAAACAGGACAAAAGGTGGTGGAAGATCACTCATCATCCCCCACCCCCCCAAAACACACACACACGCACACACACACACACAATCACCACTCTTCCACTGCGTTCTGAGGAAAAGGCTCTGAATCTGCAGTTCTTCCTGGGGTTATTAGCATAGACCTGTACATGTCTGGTTTAAGAGGGCCACCTGGGAACCCTGGAACTCCCATCCTGCCTGCCCGGGTCACCCCTGCCCAAGCCTCCTCCATTCACATCCCCCCATGTCAACCCCAGGACAGCCTGAGTGGGCCTGTGGGAGCAGGCAGCAGGTCCCAAAGGCAGGGATGCACTCCTCATCCTGAGCAGCCAAGCCTGCAAAGACCCCAGCACAAGGGACAGGCTGCTCAGCGCCACAGCAGGCAGAGTGCAGCAGAGACCCTGGCCAGAGGTAGCAGTGGAAACGGGAGTCATGGCCGGCCTCTGAGCTCCTGGAAAGAAGAGGCAAGGCCTGGCAGCTACCCAGAACTAAAAGCTTTGGAGGTTTGTACCAGCTCCCACAGCAGGAACAGTTTTATTTTTTTGAAAAAGCAAAAGAATAGCTTTTTTTTGAAGCAAAATTTACGGACCAAAAAATTCATCCATTTTAAGTAAATAATTCAATAACTTTTAGTAAACTCACATAGCTATGCAACCACTGCCACAATGCAGTTACAGAACATTTCTTTCTCCCCAAATCCCCTTCTCCTCCTCTGAAGTGATCCCTACTCCAGCCCCAGGCTACCACGAATCTACTTTCTGCGTCTACACATTTGCCATTGATTGACTGATTGACTGTGAGACGGGGCCTCACTCTGTCACCCAGGCTGAAGTACAGTATCGTGATCTCAGCTCACTGCAACCTCCACCTCCCGGGTTCATGTGATTCTCCTGCCTCAGCCTCCCGAGTAGCTGGGATTACAGGCATGCACCACTACGCCCAGCTGATTTTTTGTATTTTTCGTAGAGGTGGGGTTTCACCATGTTGACCAGGCTGGTCTGGAACTCCTGACCTTGTGATCCACCTGCCTCAGCCTCCCAAAGTGCTATAATCCTCCCAAAGGGATTACAGGCGTGAGCCACTGCGCCCAGCCTTTTTGACTTTTCATATACAGTAAACTGATTCATACAATCACTTAGCATTATGTTTTTAAGTCCATGTGGTGGCATCAGGACTTCATTCCTTTTTATGGCTGACTAATATTCCATTTTATATGACAGGCTGCATTTTGTTTATCCATTCACTAGTTGATGGGCTTTTGGTATTTCCAAGTTTGAGCTATGATGAATAAGGCTGCAGTAAACATTTGCCTGTAAGTTTTATATAGAATTATGTTTTCACGTGTTTCATAGGAGTAGAATTGCAGGATCATACAAAAGCTTAACTTTTTAAGTTTGTTATTTTCCTCCCTTATTCCTTTCTGTCTCCATTGTTAAGCACAATTATTGGCATAAAAGAGGTTTTCAGTACCCATTTTTAGACTGCATTCTAGCCTGGGCAATAAAGCAAGACTCCTGTTCTCTCTCCCTCTTTCTCTCTTTCTATTTTCCTATCTCTTTTTCTCTCTCTCTAAAAAAAAAAAAGAAAAGAAAAGAAACTGCCAACCTTGTTTTCCAAAGTGGCTACACTGTTTTATTGATTTTGAGACAAGGCCTCACTCTGTTGCCCAGGCTGGAGGGCGGTGGCACAACTGTGGCTCAGTGCAGCTTCTGCCTTCTGGCCTCAAGTGATCTCCCATCTAAGCCTCCCAAATTGCTGGGATCACATGCGTGGGCCATCGGGCCCAGCCAGCTGCACTATTTTGATTCCTGCCAGCAGTGAACAAGGGTTCCAGTTTTTCTACATCCTTGCCACATGTCTTATTTATTACAGTCTTTGTTAGCTGTCTTTTTTGTTAGTCATACTAGCAGGTGTGAAGTGGTGTCTTACTGTGGTTTTGATCTGTGTTTTTCTGATGACTAATGATGCAGCACATCTTCTTGTGTCTTCTTGGATGTACAGTTTGTATAGTTTCCTTGGAGAAATGTCTGCTCAAATCTTTTGTCTATTTTTTTTAATAGAGATGAGGTTTTATTGCCTAGGCTGGTCTCAAATGCCTGGCCTCAAGTGATCCTCCCGCCTTGGCCTCCCAAAGTGCTGGGATTACAAGCATGAGCCACCATGTCTGGCCTGCCCATCTTTTTACTGGATTATCTGTCTTCTTTTTGAGTTGTAAGAATTCTTTATATATTCTAGTTACAAGTCCTTTATCTGATATATGCTTCACAAATAGTTTCTCTCAGTCTACGGTCTGTCTTTTTCTTAAACATGTATCTATTGAAGGGTAGTTTTTAATCCTAAGGAAGTCCAACTGATCAGCTTTTTCTTTTTTTCTTTTTTTTTGAGACAAAGTCTCACTCTGTCACCAGGCTGGAGTGCGGTATCTCAGCTCACTGCGACCTCCACCTCCTGGGTTCAAGAGATTTTCCTGCCTCAGCCACCAGGGTAGCTGGGACAATAGGCGTGTGCCACCACACTCAGCTAATTTTTGAATTTTTAGTAGAGGGGATTTCACCATCCTGGCCAGAATCGTCTCCATCTCTTGACCTTGTGATCTGCCCACCTCAGCCTCCCAAAGTGCTGGGATTATAGGCGTGAGCCACCGCACCAGGCCAGCTTTTTCTTTTATGGATCCTTCTTTTGATGTCACGTGTAAGAATCTTTGCCTAACCCAAGGTCACAATACTTTTCTCTTGTTTTCTTCTAGTAGCATTATAGTTTGAGCTGAGTCTAGGCACTTAGATTCTATGATCCATTTTGAGTTCATTTTTTTGCATGATGTGAAGGGTCCAACATCGTTCTTTTGCATGTGAATATCCTGTTGTCCCAGCACCACCTGCTGAAAAACTATCCCTTCCCCCTTGCTGGATTTGCCTCTGTCCACAGTCAGTTGACCATAAATATGAAGGTTAGTTTCTGAGCTCCCCATTCTGTTCCACTGATTGATCTATACACCAATAGCAACCTGCCTTAAGTAGTGTGGCTTTATAGTTTGAAATTGGGAAGGCAAGCCTTCCAACTTTGTCCTTTACCAAAACTGTTTTTGGCTACTCTCAGTCCTTTGCATTTCCACATAAATTTCAGGATCGGCTGTTTTCTCAAAAAAAAAAAAAAAAGCTGGAATTTTGATAGGGATTATGTTGAATCTATAGAAGAATTACCCTCTTTACAGTATTGAGTCTTCCAATTCATGAACATGGAATGTCACTCTATTTTTATCTTTTTAATTTTCTCTCAGCAGTAAACTTTTTCAGCATATAGTCTTGCATTCCATTTGTTATTTCTAAACATTTTATTCATTGGATATTATTGTGAATTGATTTTTTTATTTTTTTTTAAATGGAGTCTCACTCTGTCGCCCAGGCTAGAGTGTAGTGGCACGATTTCAGCTGACTGCAACCTCTGCCTCCCAGGTTCAATGATTCTCCTGCCTCAGCCTCTCGAGCAGCTGGGATTACAGGCACACACCACCATGCCCAGCTAATTTTTGTATTTTTAGTAGAGATGGGTTTCACCATGTTGGCGAGGATGGTCTCGATTTCCTGACCTTGTGATCCACCTGCCGCAGTCTCCCAAAGTGCTGGGATTACAGGCATCAGTCACCACACCCGACTGTGGATGGAATTTTCTTGACTTCATTTTTGGGTGTTTTGTTGCTAGCATGTAGACATGTAATTGACTTTTGTATGTTGACCTTGTATCTTGTAACCTTGTAGGACAATCTTGGTGAATTAGGAGCCACTTATAATGCCAACCAAGAGAACCACAGACTAGTCAAGACCTGGAGTCACATACCTGCCTCCTACCTGCTGTAGGGACCTCCCTTTCAGCCCACTCAGGCGCAGCAGCTCCAAAGACAAAGGTCTCTTCACTCCAGGGGGGTGCCTAACTCTTGAGCAGCACCATTAGAAAGCTCTTCCCCAAACCAAAGGTCCACTCTGCCCGCTGCTCTGGAGATAGGCAGACAACTCCAATCCCACTTCCTTGAGACAAGGCCACCTCTGCCTGCCCCCTTCAGTGAGGCCCCAGAACTGGGGACCAGGCAGCCTTCTCTGCCCTGGACTGTTACCCGAGCACCATGGTCCCACTGCAGCCTGGCACAGCACTGCTTTCTCAGGGGCCAGAGAACACCTCAGTTCCAGTAATGTGTTTTTAGATCAAAGTAGAGAGGTTTAAGGGATAGGGGTTTTGTAGGTGTTGTGTCTACTAATCCTTGGACTCGGCCGCTCCCACACAAGGCAGGGAGTGGAAATCAATGGCTAGCCTTCTGGGTTTTGGTTGTCCTGAGCTCAGAGCTGCAGTGAGTCCCTCTCTGTCAGTGCACAGCTTCATTTGAGGGACCCTTCAGGCACAATCCTCAGAGATGGGACAGTGTCCACTGGTGGTTCACAGAGCAATTTTAGGAGACACGTGGGACATCAACTCAGTGAAGACATCACTCTTTTAAGGTATCTTGCAATCTCTCCAGTTATGACAGAGAAAGTCTCTGTCCTTGCTGATATGTCCTTAGTACCCTCTTTAACCCTTGGTAATCCACCATGCCTTGGGGAAATGGCATAGTTTAATTATATTTTGGTTTTCCTTGTATATTAAGGCAAGTTCTCATGGTCCCCCAGCCCTGAAAAAACAATAAAAATAGAAAAAAAAAAAAAAACTAAAAAGATAAATTAAGTAAATATTTTCAAATTGATGAGGAAAAACAAGTCACTGACCTAGAGTGGCCCTGGACAGATACAGCTGGGGTGCAGGTGGTGTGGGATGTCCAAGGTCGGGGTACACTGGGCAGTGCCCAGGGCAGCAGGGCCCCTATAGAGGCGGCTCCCCAGTCCACCTCGAGCTTTCCCGGGATCCTGCCGCTGAGCTGAAGTGGCTCATCCTGTGCTTCCCTCCCCCTGCAGATGTGGCGGGCTGGGGCTGGTGCTGGCCAGCGCAGGCTTCGGCATGCTGACGGCACCCATCATCGAGCTGCACAACCAGAAAGGCTACTTCCTGCACCACATCATCTTTGCCTGCTGCACGCTCATCTGCATCATCTGCATCCTCCTGCTGCCCGAGAGCAGGGACCAGAACCTGCCTGAGAACATTTCCAATGGGGAGCACTACACACGCCAGCCACTGCTGCCGCACAAGAAGGGGGAGCAGCCACTGCTGCTCACCAATGCTGAGCTCAAGGACTACTCGGGCCTCCACGACGCCGCAGCCGCGGGGGACACGCTGCCTGAGGGTGCCACAGCCAATGGCATGAAGGCCATGTAGCCGGGCCTGCAGAAACTGGGGCTCAAGGATCTGGGGCAGCTTGGACACAGGTTTACAGACCGGGGACCGAACACATGGCCAGGGGTGGGAAAGCTGCCCCACCCAAGCTGAGCCCCTCAAGTGGTGTGGGGAAATCCTGTCTTTCCAAAAGTCCAAGGAGCACAGGTCGGAGGAGACAAACTCTTTGGAAGTAACCCTTCCAAGACTTTCTTTTCTGCCATTAAATGTTTGTATTTATTTTGGTCATTTTTACAAGAAGCACTTTATTCCCTCTCCCTCTCACTGATCACAGGTGGCATCACCTCCTTCGGCAGCGAGACACAGGCACTCTGGGAAGATGCTACAGTGATCACGGCCGTGGCCCGCCCCTCTCCAGAGATGGGACGCGGCTCCTCGCAGCACCCAGGAGCCAGATGTTACCTCGGCCATCAGGAACCCCCGACGCCGCCTGCCTGTGTGCAGAAGCAGGACGTGACCGTGGAGCGTTTCCAGGACTGCATTTTAGACAGAGTGAAATGTACATGAATTAGGCTTTTGCTAGAGAGTCTGTGATGGTTTTTTAAGGTCCTTTTTCCCTTTCTGTTTGTAAGGTAAGAGCTTCTGTTCCATGTGCAGGAGAAAACAGCCCCCAGACACCATTAAAACCAGCTTCACCTTTCCTTCAGGATCATCCTTTTGTACTTGATGCTGAAAGCTCTTGGAGAAAAAGCTTAAACATTTCACCAGAAATCTTAACCGAGCAGCAGTCACATCGCCACAGCTTTGTGAGTACACAGCTAACAGATGCGTCGAGGCCTGAGCTGTGCTCGTTTTTATTCCTCCTCTCCCAGACTGGCTCCAGCAGAACAGCGCTCGTGCACAGCCAGCCCTTGTGCCAGCACTACTTGAAAACATGGCTCCTTTCAAAGCTACAAACAGTAGAAAAATAACTCAAAAAGATGGTGGAGGCAAATCCACAGAAGCGGGGCTGCCCTCCCACACACACCCATCACCCACACCTCGAGCACACACCACGAAGATCACCAGCTTAGATGGCCGTCACCTCAGACATCACTCCAGGAAGCACCTGCAGGAGCTGGGCCCCCTCACGCCTGCCTTCCTGGGCCGGCTTCCTGCTTTTAGTCATTCGCTCAGCACAGAGACAGGAATTCGGGCAGGGAGCCAAGATTGAATCCTCATAGGTGAGTACAAATGACCTCCAGCCTCTCAAAGGCACCAATACAAATTGAGAGAAAGCAATAACTCACCAAAGCTCAACGCTGCCCCTGCCGCGATCTCCAAGGGTTTCTTCGTGTTCCTCGTTTCGCCCCAGAAAGTGAAGGTTTCCTCTTGGCATTTTCAGAGGAATCATGCAGGACACCCAGGGCCGCTAAGAGACAGCCTCCTTGGTAAAGGCAGGCACCACTTTACAGCAACTTGGGCACCAGCTTTTCTGGACAGCCTGGCTTCTGACTGGAATTGTTCAATTCACCCCTTCTCAAAGTATGTCTTTGCCGTGGGCTGTGTCCATCCAGGGAAATTGTGGTCTCAGGCCTAGGTGAGACAATGAACTGACTTCCGACAGTTGCTAAAATTCACAGGGCAGAAAAGGGGTTGACTTTCTCCCCTTCCAGCTTTCCACCTGGCCTGCTTCTTGCTGTCTCCACCCGTGTCTCCACATCCGGTCCGCACATCAGTAGGAGCCTAGTGATATGTAAAGACACAGCAAGAGGCAAGCAGACTCACGGCCACGTGTTTCCAGTGGCTGGGCCATGCCAACACCTGGGGTCTTGAGACGCCCAGGAAGGGGGCTGTCTGGCCAGCCTCTCCCCACCTCCCCTTTCTCCACGTCCAGCTCCTCCTCACCTTCCCTCTTTTTTAAAGTCACATTTCCATGTCTCAACATTAGTTTGCATTCACCTATACAAAGGCCTTTCTTTAGATCTGTGCAGGCTTTGCGTGCCAAATCTGTGAAATTCCTTTTACCTTTTTTGGAGTACTTGCTACAAAGCTACCTGTCAACAAATCCCATTATGCACAGAATAGGACCTGTCCAGCAGCCAGGCCAGTAGGCAGTTGGGGAAGCAGGGAAGGTGGGAAGGGTCCCGCGAGGCCCCCAAGCCTGCACCTGGACGTGTGTACGCCTGCACCTGGACGTGTGTACGTCTGCACCCATCGCCCTCAGCACCAGGCCACCCTGCAGTCCACTTGCTGTATTGTGGAAGGACTTGCTAAGTGATGGAAGTTGCAAGCAGTCGCATACTGGTCATGCAAATAGTTTTTTTAGAAACTGAAGCGGGAGAGTGTTGCCAGAAGTCTCTAGGAAGGTGGTGGCAAGGTACAGCACTCTACTCTTCCGGTCGTGGTCTCTGATCTCCACCTCAAATGACAATAAAAAACCTCCAACGAAGGTCCAACGAAGACAGTACTCAGCACTTCAGCCATCAGGATTAATCCATCAGTGACTGGAAAAGAGGCTAGCTTTAGGCCTGGGCTCTTGGGACCAGAGTCCAGCGGGTGTGAGGCTGACTTGCCGACGGTCAGCGGGTTACGTCTCTCAGACGGCAAGGCAGTCCCACAGCTCTCCTCCCAGTGCAGCCTCGGGAGGAGGCTGGGTGCCTGTTCTGTTGCAGCTTCAGCCTAGGGATATCTGAGGCTGCCAAGGAACACCTTTATGAAATGTTACCGGAGCAGCAACACTTCTTTGTGGGCACAGACCCAGGAAATCTGGTACCAAGTGAGCAAGGCGGCAGGGCCCACGCAGGCCTGACACGCGTCTAGGCCACCGGGCTCTGCAGGGGAGGCTGCTACAGCCGCCTGCTTCCCAGCAGTCTGTCACGCTTGAGCCCCTCAGTCCTGTTCCCTTCCTGGCTAATAGAGAGACCCTTCTCAGGCACCCAGCGTTGCAATTTGGCCCTCCCACCCCCTGCTACTCTCCTCCACACACCCCTGCCTTCTACCAGCCTACCTGTCAGCCTTTCAATAAAAGTTATGCACAATTGTGAACACCTGACATGGAGCTGAACATTTCTTCACTTCTTTTCCTGAAGTCAAACTCTTATCAAATACTCTAATTATTACCACCCAAGACAAACAGGAAAAAGGGTTAAATGTTTTTGTTTACTGACAGTAAGATCACCTGCATCTGGACGGGCTGGTAAGATGGTTTGGCTACAGAACAGAAAAAAAAAAAAAAAAAAAAAAAAGAAACCTCCTAAGGGAAGGGAAGTATCGCACTCAAGACACCACCACTTCCTAGAGCCAAACGAGCAATCCCGAACTGTGCGTGCCATAAGTGAGCCTGTGACATCACAACGCCCGGCCCAAGTGCCGCACGCGCGGGGAGGCCCGCACTCCCACTGTCCTCTTGTCTGGAAGGCACCGCCTCACTTCCATGTGCCCTGTGTGTTTTTGGAAAAGCAGCATGGTGTGTCCTGTCTAGCTGCCAACACTTCCCTCCCTGTCCTGAGGTTGTAACATAGTAACTGTGTTTCTGTACGTGTGGGTGGGGATTCTCTGAAGGTGCTGCTTCATAGCACAAGCTTACACTGAGTTCTGAACTGTCCTTCACAGCTGCGTGTCTGCATGGTGTCGCATCTGTTGTACCTTTGGGGAAAATTTGTATGTAAATGTACAGAAATAAAAATGTTGCCCCATTAACAGATTTCCTCTGGAATGTCTTCCCTACCTCACCTGATGATGGTATCCAACGAAGGGCATTTCACTACCACTGATGAGTAATAAAGTCCTCCGTGTTCATTCAGACCTCACTGCATCACTACTTTTAACGCCTCTGTAAGCTGTGTCTTCACTCGCCCCGAGGTGGGTGGAGGGAGGCAGCTCACTCTGCTTCGAGTCCTGGTCTTAAAGGTAGTCAGAGGCAGAGGCTGGATTAAACACACACTGTTTACCGAGTGCCACTCTCAGACCACCTGAGAGATGGGGGCCATCAGTAAAATTAAGAGGAATTTTTTTCCCTTGTTCATTTATGTTCTGCTGATCCGTGGTCTGAAGGTTCCTAGAGACGTCTCAAGAATGAGTATCTTACACTGTGATTCTGTGAGGAAAGACTGGTAACCCAAAACTCTCTTCTCTAATGTAGTATTTTTTAACAAAAATGACAATATTTCTTTAATAAAGTATTTATACCAAACTCTTCTCTCCATAGCCCTGATTTTGTGTCACTTACTATTATATTCCCAGAGAGGTGTCCACTCAGCTTTGCAAGCTGCGATGAGGCTGGCCAAGGCCTTGAGGTTAGCACGGAAAGTCTGCAAAGGAGAGAAGCGCCCGGAACCACAGACTTACTCCTCCGAAGCGCCTTTCCATCCTGGCCAGGGTCACCACCTCTATTTGCCTGCCGCTGGCTCAGTGCGAGACTCTCCCTCTGGATGAAACATGTTACAGGGTCCTGAACCATCTGCCTCTGAACAAAAGGGTTCAGATGGACCCCAAAGTTAGGAATTTCTTTGCCAGTGGTCCTCAACCTTGCCTGCGCAGAGGCACCAGGGAAGCTTTCAATCCTGCCAAAGCCTGGGCCCCAGACCATCTGAACCTCTGGAGAAGGGCCAAGACTGGAACCTACTTCAAGTGGTAGGATTAAAGATTAAAGGCTAAGGTGTACAAATGACCAAAGCAGGTGCCTGAGGTACTCTGGATTGGGGATAGAAGAGAGGGAAGAAGGGAAGACGATGAAATGACAGGAAGAGCAAGATGGACCCGAAGCCTATGAATCCATAAAAAGGGGATAAAACCATAATTGACATCAAAATGCCATAGTTTGCAAAGCATTTCTACCTACCTATTTAATCTTAACAAGAATTGAGCAATGTGGGGATTACTCCCACTTCATAGATGAGGAGACAGAGCCTAGAGAAGTCAGACTTCACCAGACCACAAATGTAGTAATGGGGCAACACAGGGAGGTACTCAAATGTAGGCCCAAAAGGGAACACAGCAAAAAAGGAGCCCCCAGAGGAAGGGTTTAGGGAGAACACAGCAAAAAAGGAGCCCCCAGAGGAAGGGTTTAGGGAGAACACAGCAAGAAGAGAAGTGCCCTGGGGAGGGGTCACTGCAATGAAGAGATCAATGCATCCGTTCACAAGGCAGAATTCTGGGGAATGCACACACAAAGCTAAAGCATATTTATAAAGCACTTTAATTCTAGATGTACATAACAGTCATGTCTGATTGAAACTCTTTTAGATTATTAGATTACAGCCTTCAATCCCAACAAAAATCCCATTTCATACCTCTAGCACTCAGACCCAAATGAGGACGTGTGTACCTCCCACTCTGCCTCACCTTCCCCAGGTGGCTCAGTATATGCCTTTTGGCCCACACACTGCTGAGAAGGAAGCTCAAAAGATTAACCCCTTAAAAACAAAATGGGAAAGCAGCCTGATGACAAATCAAAATTCAATCCATTTATTTACATGTACATTGTACATAAGTTACAAATTCTCACTGCTGCCACTCAGCTAGAACTTTTCAGGGAAAGCCTCCATCTCTTCCTTGATCCTGTTTTCTACAAGTAATGCGAAGTTACTGTCTGTGTTTTGAAGGTTATAGCTGACAAACACCTGTTTGTTGGTCTTCCTTGCTAAAAAGAGAAAACACATTGGTATAGCCACTCCTGAAACACTGCAGGCCCATGTTCCTCACACCCACATGCAGCTGGGCAATGCTCGGAAAGAGGATGGGGTTGGAGGGCAAGAAGAAAGCTCCAATCTCCACGATGCTCTTCAGACAGGTGCTGCAAATGTAGACGAGTCACTCAGGCCTCTCCCAGTCTCTGCGCCTGACCCGGGGTTCTGAAGGGCAGGCCCCACCTCAGCAGCCTCCCTGGGACTTGTTCGAGAGGCAGCTCCTGGACCCCACCCAGCCCTCCTGAGCCCCACCCAGCCCTCCTGAACCCCACCCAGCCCTCCTGAACCAGAAAGCCAGGATGTGGGACCAGCTGTCTTCGGGAACAGGCCCTGCAGGTGCCCTGCACTGCTTAAGAACCTCAGCTCTACACAGACGGGTTTTTGGTGTTCTCATTTTTTCTTAATTTTTTAAAAACACAAAAAATAAAGTATTTAAAATAAAAAATTAAAGTTCTCCTTCAGCACCACCCCACCCCTAACCAGTTCCACTTCTCTCCCAATGGTAATTCTACATTTCCATGCATTTGCATGTATGTGTATATACACATAGATATTCATGTGTGTGTGTATATATAGATAGGCATATGGACACACATGTAATTTTCTAGTGAATGTAAGTTTTGGCCCCTTTCCACAGAATCAATAAAAAATAGCTGAGGTGCACATTGGGCCAAATGCAAAAATCAAGCAGAGTCACATGCCCAGAATCTAAAAGCTGATACCCTGAAAACATGTGGGCGGGAAGGCTAAGGCAGTTCAATGCTGCCTGCCCCACTGAGGGGCCTCCTCCCTCAGCCTCCCCCACACCCACACCCAGGGCCGGTGCAGGATCTACTCACCCCTGGAGAGGCACTGACCTGTCCCCATCTCTGCATATGGTAACCAGGTACTTAGCCTCATCACCAAAAGGCAGAAAGGTGGTGTGGTGAGGCTGAGGGACACCAGGCCACCGGCACCATTACTAAAGGCCGATTTGGAACACATGTCACAGGATCTCATACAGGCAGTTCTGTCCTTTCAGTTGCTGCTGTCTGAGCTACAGTCCCACGAAGAACCCTGAGAGGCAGTCTCGCTCAGGGGTGCAGGCGCGGGCAGAGGCCTCGTCATGGCCTAGACACCTCTTCCAGCTTTGTTTGTAAATCGAGGAAGGAGAGAGCCCAAGACCCCAAAGGCCTGTTTTTCTGCTGTACAAGGCCTTGTGATTTTTAGGGCTGAAAGGATCTTGGGTATTACTTAACTGACTGTCCTTACAGGGCAGCCAATGCACCTATGAGAAAATGAGAAGGTGGTGAGCCCACCCTCTGCCTGAGGACAGCTGCTGAATTGTATGGCATGTGTTTACATCTCAGTAAAGCGGTTTTTCTTATTAAAAAAAAGGAATGTGTGTGGAGAAAGGCAGCTGTTCGGTTATTCCAAGAGCTGGTGTTAAAGAACAGCTTACAGTACTTAGCACAGAGCCTCCCACCACTGTGCTGGGTGCAGTGTGCGCCACAGGCAGACAGCTGTGCCCAGTTATCTGCTCAGCCCTGCGGGGACCAGCCCCACCCTTTCCTAGCTCCATTAGGCAGGCTGGGGCCACTGTTGTAGAGGGTGATCTGAAGGCAGGCAATGTGGTAGGAAGCGGGGGCTCGCCAAGGCTGGCCAGGAGGAGTCTATAAGTCACACCCTGCCCTCTCCCCGGGGCAGGAAGATCCCCTCTACCCCAAGGGGGTCCCCTGGGATTCCAATTGCTCCAACTGCAAAGACAGGACTTCCGGGAAACAAAGCTGTGTGTGGAGGCATCATCCCCCTCAGACCCAAGCTATGCCCTCCAGAGCCATAGGAGGGTGGGTCCCCTTGGCCACACCAACTCCTGCGATGCTTCCAGAGCTACTCAGAACCCCCCAGGCCTTCCCTTTCCGAACTTGCTTTCATCTCCCAGGTAAGATACTGATTCGGGACACCGCTCCCTTTTCATTACAGTGCATTTTCAACTTTAGGGCCAAGGCCCAGGCTCCAGACAACTGGCACAGCACAGGACTTTGCTGGACAACCCCTTCTTGGTCTGAGCTCTGCAGCACCAGTCCCTTCAGAGATGCTGGAAGCCACAGCACACTCGACTCGTCGAGATACTGGGAACCCCTTTTTTGCATACAGATACAAGGCCTCCATCTCACAGATATTCTGGAGCCTAATTTACCTTATTGATATAAAAGTTATTTACAGCCTGCCAGACAAGCTCTCAGCACCTTCTCTACTGGAGTGTCTCTCTGCAACCCCACCCAGCTTTCTGTCTGTATAAATATGAATACCTTCCTGAGCCTTCTCCCACCAGCCAGGGCCACACAGTAACCTATTCCATCTAAGTGCTACCCCTTACATATTCACAAACACAAGGTAACACAGACACAAAAGGGGGCTTTTACTTTCATGTGGCTCAGAAAAAAAAGATGTAAACACAAAGAGGGAATGACGGCAATTGGGAAATCGGGCAAAAGCTAAGCAGGAATTCTATCTTCTTTGTCACTTTTCTGTAAATTTTAAATTACTTCCTAGTTAAAAATTACCAAAGTAACTTACAAGTCAAGTCTCTACCTCCAGGGCAGTGAAAAAGGATACTGTGAGTTCCTGAAATGCTGACCTGTGTCCTCCCTGACCTCCGTCCTCTCCACACACTGCCCTGAGCCTGCTGGGGACGCTCCACCCTTCCCTGCCTTCCCGCGCTGGCCAGTGCTCCCCGGGGCCACATGCCATGCTGTTCATGTGTACTCTCCTCAGTGTGACTGACACAGAGGTTCCGGCTTGTCAGGGATCAGGTCCTTCTCTGCCCAAGACACAGAGGGGCTCCGTCACTGACTCCACAGCAGAAGCAGCTGGGCATGCTGGAGATGGCCAGGCCTGGGCAGGAGACAGACATGCTGTGCACACCAGCCACAGGCACTGGGGCTGCGCATCGCAGAACACACAGCATCCTTACCTGGCCCACCTGGGTATGTACAGGAAGTATGTGCTGGGGTGTGGGAGCAGCGGAGCCTTCAGCCTCATTGTCTCTGCTTAATCCCCGCTCTACACCACACTCGCAGGCCAGGCCAGTCTCCCCTCCCAGCCCTGAGGGGCATCACACTGTAAGTGAAGGACAGTCCTTCCTGCACAGAGGTGACACTTGCTCCACCAGCTGCACTGACTCCTCCTAAGACCCTGGAGGCTACACCTTGAGCCACTGCGCACAGGGGCAATGGGCACTGCTCACTCTCTTCTCCCAGGAGGAGATGATGCACTTATGAAAGGGAAATCGGCTTGTGGACTCAAGGACGCAGCCAAGGACGAAGTGGGCATCCTCTGGGGACAGGCCAGCCCTGGGACAGTGGCGGTGACAGGTGGGCACAGACGTGTCCCTTAAAGAAGGCACAACATGAAAAGGTCTGAGCTTCCCAGCAGCAATGAGGTGATTGTTCTTAGCATAAAGATTCTTTACTTCCAAAGGGACTTGCCTCATGGTTCCATTAGAGTGGGGCTCCCACCTGGC